ATTTCAGCTCAGGTCATGATCCAGGGTCATGGGATAGAGCCTTATGTCATGCTCTGTGCTGAGTGTGGAGCCTGCTTAAGATTCTCTCTCTCTCTCTCTCTCTGCCCATCTCCCCCACTTGCATGTATTCTCTCTAAAATAAAGTTAAATACAATAAAAAATTTAAAAAGCGAAATTCCTCTCTTATCCCAGATCATCAGGGCTCCTAGCACATCTCAAGTGTTACCATTCCTAAGTATATCCTGTGTCTTTGCTGAAACATTGATTTATATACACATATGAAAGAGCAGAAAAATCTTTTTTATTTTTACTATATGAACGTGCTATGTGTGGTGTTTTGCACATTTATATCTAGAGACTTTTCATATCCACCTACATAGACTTGGTTACCTTTTTTTTTTTTTTTTTAAACATTTACTGCTTCTTCAATGTAAAGCCAAATGTGATAGATTATATTTATGGTAGATTTTGAAAACCCAATAGTGTACTCTTTTATTCTTATAAAAGGTTTTCCTTAGAGTTTCGTAGGTTTTATAAGATACCCTCATGTTCCCTACGAGAAATGGGGAATGATAAAATGTTATAGATTGCTGTGGACAGAATTATGTGGAAAAAAATACTGAGGAAATAGGGTTTAGTTGTTTCAGCCATCCTGTCTGCAGTATTTTGTTACAGTAGCCCAAGCAGACTAATACATAGATAATTATAGAAAAAGAGGGACAAACCCCGACTGTCTTGTGATAGTTGAAAAACATAAACAAATACACTAGGCACTTACATGTACCTCCTTTATGGCATATGGCAAGGGATCAAGAACAGGGAGGGCAGGGGCGATATGCCAGAAGGTCCAAGTTCAGCTCATCCTGTAGCAAGGCCCCAGTAGCTATGCTGGGTGAGTGGGGTGCTGCACCCATGATTCAAGGCATATTGGGCAGGTGGGGCTGGACGGCTTAGGTTCAGGCTCTGTGAGAGCCTCTGTTTCCAAGAGATCTCACTACAGAGCTTCCTTGGCTCACAATGGGGTCATTTTTCAATAAACCCATCAAAAATTGAAAATATGGTCAGTAATAATACTGTAAAATAACCTACCGAACACCATAGCTTAGCCTAGTCTATGTTGAGTATGCTCAGAACACTTATGTTAGAGTGCAAAACCACCTATTTTATAGATGACAAAGATGACAAAATCATCTGTCTTATAGATCACAAAGCCTATTTTATTTTTTTTAAAGTTTTGGGTTTTTTTTAAATTTCTAAGAGAGAGAGAGAGAGCATGAACAGGGGAGGGTCAGAGAGAGAGGGAGATACAGACTCTGAAATAGGCTCCAGGCTCTGGGCTGGCAGTCAGCACAAAGCCCGACACGGGGCTCGAACCCACAAACCATGAGATCATGACCTGAGCCAAAGTCGGACGCTTAACCAACTAAGCCACCCAGGCGCCCCTACAAAGCCTATTTTATAATAAAGTGTTGGATATCTCATTGCAGGGGTACCTGGGTGGCGCAGTCGGTTAAGCATCAGACTTTGGCTCAGGTCATGATGCTACAGTTCATGAGTTGAGCCCTGCATCGGGTGAGCTCAAGCCCTGCTTTGGGAGATGAGCTCAAACCCCTCTTGCTCTCTCCCTCTGTCTCTCTGTCCCTAGTGGGATTATCTCTGTCTGCCCCTCACTCACTCATGCTCTCTCTCAAAATAAAATTTAAAACATAATAAAATAAATTTTTAAAAATTAAAAAAAAAAAAGAATATCTCATTGCATACAGTACTGAAAGTGAAAAGCAGAATGGTAACTTTTTTATTTTTATTTATTTATTTTTTTTAAACTTTTTTTTTAATATTTTTTATTTATTTCTAGGAGAGAGAGAGAGACAGCGTGAGCAGGAGAGGGTCAGAGAGAGAGGGAGTCACAGGCTGAAACAGGCTCCAGGCTCTGAGCTGGCAGTCAGCACAGAGCCCAACGCGGGGCTCGAACCCACGAACCGCGAGATCATGACCTAAGCGAAAGTCGGACGCTTAACCAACTAAGCCACCCAGGCGCCCTGGATGGTAACTTTTTTAAATGTTTATTTATTTTAAGAGAGAGAGCATGAGCACAGGAGGAGCAGAGAGGTAGAGAAGAATACTAAGTAGGCTCCCTACTGGTGGCTCTGAGCAGACACAGCACTCGATCTCATGAACAGTGAGATCATGACCTGAGCCAAAATCAGGAGTCAGATGCTTGACCAACTGAGCCACCCAGGCACCCCAAAAACAGAATGGTTATAAGTTATTGCTTGTTTATCCTCATGCTCACGTGGCTGACTGGGAGCTTCAGCTTGTGACTGTGGTCTAGCATCATGAGACAGTATCAGACCACATGCTGCTAGCCCAGGAAAAGATCAAAATTCATAATTTAAAGTACAGTTTCTGTTGACTGTGTATCACTTCCACGCCATCATAAAATTGGGTCATCTGTATGTGGCTAACAATGGCTTACAGCATATAGCTAAGCAACCCGCATCAAGAGCCCAGGGGCAACATATGGCCATGCTGCTCCAAAGTCTCCAGGAAGCATGGGGGCACTAACAGGAACACCTAATATATTCCTATTTAGACAGATTCTAGAGCCTTCTTTGGAAGTCGCCTCCTTAAAGGTGGGCTGACTTGCAAGTAACAATAAAAATGGCCACAAGCAAAATTTATAAATGAGGAAGAAGTTGCCTCCAGCACCCAAAAAGTCCTCAGAGATGTTGGGCTTGTTTTCACACTGTGTGTTTTGAGAAGGTCAATGGCTATTTCTGGACAGCATCAGGGATAGAGGTGACCTCAGTTACAAGTAGCTTTCAGGAGTATAACCAAGGTTGTAGTCAATCACATCTCTGGAGGAGTGTTTCATAAGTGTAAATCATAACCCTAGAAAAAGTTGAATGTAGTAAAAATCTTGTCCTCAAAGTTTGTATGCCAAGGCAAAGCTATTGAGGGACCTACGATTGCCTGTAGACGTGTATGAAATCCTTTTGGAGGTGAAAGTTATGGTTGGGAGGCTGTTGAAATAAACCATGAACCTAATGTATTGGCCAAATTGGTATCAGCCGGGTATTTACCAGTTGTCAATTGGATGTAGTAATTCACCGTGAGATGGCTTCCATTCTTTTCAACTTAAAGACAAGCAAAGTTTTCCTGTTAAACAGAGAAGCAGTAGGGATAACGTCTACTCTCCCTAGATCTTCAATAATGTGTTTCAGTTCGTGAATGCCCAGGTTTGACTAACATTTAGTCATATTATCTATTTTAACTAGGGGTGGGGACATTTATTGGGGTCCATTTTGGAAAGCCAACTTGTAAGTGCCAGTGATTTGATTTAATTTTAATTTATTACTCACTGGATCATCTCATCTATGCCTCCTCTTGGGCATTTTAGGAGAACGTGCGCTGTGATCATGGGGAGTTTAGGCAAGGCCATTGTTCTGGTAGCTAAGATGAGGTAACTTCTTTGATGTCCATTTTATGTTCAGTAACATCACTAATGTTATGGGGGGGTACCACGTCTGAATTTAATGGGGTCCCACTAAATCAGCATCTAAGTTAAGGAGACACAAAATGGAATCTCACCCTTTTATCTTTCTACTTCTGTAGATTCTTGCAGTAACTCTTTTTTTTTTTTTTAAATGTTTTATTTATTTCGAGGAGAGAGAGAGAGAGACAGCGTGAGCAGGGGAAGGTCAGAGAGAGAGGGAGTCACAGACTAGAACAGGCTCCAGGCTCTGAGCTGGCAGTCAGCACAGAGCCCGACGCGGGGCTCGAACCCACGAACCGCGAGATCATGACCTAGGCGAAAGTCGGACGCTTAACCGACTAAGCCACCCAGGCGCCCCTCTTGCAGTAACTCTTGATTCACCAATTGGGTCAAATTATGGACCTCTGTTCTTGTGTTTTGGTTCCTTTCCCTGAATCCAGTTTATCCTTCCTTCTTTCTCTCTGACTTAGACTCTAGAACCTTTCCTTGGAAGAGACAACATTAAAGCTGGGCTGATTTGCAAGTTAAAGCATAAATGCTCAAAATGCATGATTGCTTTGGGCAGCAGAACCAAAGAAAAAGAGGAGAAAACCCCCTGAAGATGTTAGTCAACATCTCCTTAGGTCTGCTCAGAACACCAATGTGAAGACCAAGTTGTATAGTCAAAGTAGATCCTCAACCAAAATTTTGTTCACTGTTGGGACTGATGATGCCACACACAGCAGAAAGATATGAAGAGGTTTATAACTCATGTAATGAGGTTTAGGGGAGGACAGTATGGTTACTTGAGTAGGTAAAATATGACTTGAGGGTGCAAGGGAAGGAGACTAGCTTAGGGGTTTCTTATGGTGGTTACTGGATGGCACTGATGTGAGGGTTCTGGTACTACCAGGGGCTTGCTTGGTTTGAATTTCCCACCTGCTCCAAAGGATGGAGCACCTGGACTTTCTCTTCAGCTTTCCCAGGTATGGGAAAAAGCAGAGGAGAAGAGGGAGTCCTAAAAGTCTGGATGGAGATGCCATCTCTCTCTCTCAAGGCTGCTCCCCATAAAAACATCCTTGAACACATAATTTGGAGCAATCAATTCTTTACTCCCATGCAGAAACAAGACAGACCCACTGAGAATCATGTCCCTATAATTTTATCTTCTCTCTTGCCTAGAATATAAAAGGTACTAATGTATAGGACCCCATAGTAAATGTATACAAAATTTTTAATATATATAAAGGTACATATACAAAAATCTATTGGAACTGTAAAATTACAATGTATACACTCTAATCTTAGAATTCCAGAAACAGTCTTCACATCTCTGTTAGTTCCCAAAACATCTCTTATTGCTATTGAAACAAAATGGGGGGGAAAAAAGAGGAAACAAAATGAAAAAATCTGTTTAACTCATAAAAGTATTTTAAAAAATCTTGGTACCAGATTTACTAATACGTATCCAATATTCTAACTACTGTCCATAAACTACAGAAAGAGAATGAAACCAACTCCCAATTCATCCTTCAAGATCCCTTACTGCACAGATCGTAAGAGGTTTACGGTCCTGCCCCATGCAGAAGTAAGGCTTTAGTACTTCAGAAAATGCATCCGTGAATGAATGGATGTGAGACCTGTCATTCAAACAGTAAAAGGAAATCTTCCCCAACTCATAGTCCAGATAAATGCCCACCCCTCTGGGCTTTTCCTTCAGCACAAGAGTGACAGGAACAGCCGCTTGTGCCACATAGCCACCGTTCTGCAGCTGAATTGTCCAGCGTCTGCTCTGTGCTGACAGGGGCCACTTTCCCTTCCAGGAAAGGAGGTCCTCACAGACCCCCACGGCCCACTCACTCTTGTCATCCAGCTGCACCTCCCAGTAATGTCGGCCACCATCGAACCCCTCAGAACCCAGGATGATGGGATCCATCATAAATCTCTCTGGATTCCGAGGGACGCTTGGTTTTTTCCTCACAAATGTCACAGACTTTTTATCTTCAGAGACAAGCAGATGAGGATGCGCTGTTTCAGGGTCCAGAGTAACTTCTCGTTGGAACCTCTGTATGATCTTCTGCAAGACCAAGTACTGTGGAGGGAGACTGCAGCCTTCTCTCCTTAACTGGAAAGAGTAGAGATCTGGGGGCTTTGGGCACTCACACCTGTCATGGATACTCCGGATGTCTGTCAGCAGCTTCACCTCTGACATCACGCTCCTCTCGGCCACCTCTTTCAGTAGATCCTGGAGGGTGGAAACATGGTCTGAAAATTCGGTGATGTTTGCACAGAGCATCTGCTGAATGTCCTTCTCTTCCTCAGCTAGCCTTGACAGAACTGCCTCTTGTTCTCGGTCCACAAACTGGTTCAGGTACTTAAACTCAGATGCTAATTTCTGTTTCTGGCATTGCACTTGCTCTCTCAGCTCGATAAGCTTTCTCTCCTGGGTGGCTACTAGTTTCTCCACGTTGGCCACTTGCTTCTCCAGGGGCTCGATGTAACCACTGAGCCTCTGCCTGTGGTGAGAGGCGGCCTCCTCCGCGGGCCTCACGCAGTGGCCCTGGTGGTCAGGGGGCCGCATGCACATGGGACACAACACCTGAAGGTCGTCCTCACAGAAGAGGGTCAGGACCTGCTTGTGCTTCTCACACAGATGCCTCTCGTCCTGCCTCTTCCTCTTGCTCCTGGTGATGTGGAGGCGCTGGGCGATGTCAACCATCCTTCCCAGCTGAAAATTGCTCCTCAAGTGCCTCTATAGGCATGAGTGGCGGCAGACGGGGCAAGGGAAGCTGTCGCTTCGGTCAGCCCAGGACTGTTGGATGCAGCAGCGACAGAAGTTGTGCCCGCATTCGGTGGTGACGGGGTCTCTCAGGTAATCCAGACAGACGGGGCAGTTGGCTTGGGCCTGGAGTCCTGCCAGGGCTGACATCGCTGCCATTGAGCAGAGACAAAGGTCTTTCTGGACAGAGTTGGGTCTCCTGGAGGCTGGGCCCTGGAGGATTTCTCCAGTGAGAGGCAGACACACCCTCAGATGTTACTGTCCTTTCCTGTCCTGGGGGTCCCTTTGTCAAATGAGGGCAGCCTCGCTGTCTAGGAGGCCACCGGCCTCAGGTGCAGTGGAAGGTGCCCAGAGGGGCTCTGTTCACCACCTGCGGGTGATCACGGATGTGCTGGGTGACCAGCGGCCCTCGGCAGCCCAGAGGGGGATGGGAAGCCAAGGTCAGCAATTCTCTGGGTCAGAAAGCAGACATAACTTTAAAGTGCAGATTCGTCCCCTAGAGATGAGAAAACATTATTTCATGTAAAAAAAAAATTACCATTTGTTTGGTGGCACTGCCCACTGCCACATTTGAGGCAGCCATCAATTCTTCTCTCTACCCCCAGGATTCTACCTACACCCACATCAAACACAGCGGTGCTGTGTGGGACTGCAGAAAGTTAAAAGCTTTGAAAGCTGAGCCTCCACCCAGGGTGCGATTTCTCCTTACTCATTATCTGGGGGACCTGGAGGAAGTATATCACATGCTCATCTCTAAGAGAATCAAGTAAATAAGTATTAAAATCCCAATTTCAATCATTTCAATCTCATCAAAGATCCAATAAAGATCCCCAGTATTTTTTTGGTTTAAACCACAGATATTTCTTAAACCACAGCGCTGAGCTCATAGTATGTCAAAATTTAATTTTCACTTAAGTTTCTCAGTTGCAGGATATATCCAACTGTGTACATAAGTGGTTTGGACTAGATTAGATTTACTCCGAGGACCCTGCCAAGTCAGAAAGCTGTGATTTTGACAAGATGCACAGAATGAAAATTGGAGATCAGGAAATCAATGTGAGAAAACACTAGGAAACACACACATGTATATACAACAGCCCTCCAAAGTCATTGATGAACTACCAACTAGTGGTGATTGGTGGGGACAAGATCCACAGAAGAGGGTGTGGATTTTTCCCGTAGAAGCAGTCATTTGTCCCGAAATACAGGCAATGCTTCAGATTCTGTGTCTCCCTCTCTCTCTGCCCCTCCCCTGCTCTCTCTCAAAATAAATAAACAAGCAAGCAAGCAAACAAACATGGAAATGTAGGCTAAGAGGCTAAAGCCAACTCTCAGGGTTGGGGGAAATGTGGAGTTAAGGGCACCCCATAGAAGATGTATTCTGGCAAATACTCCAAACTTTAAATTGGTGTCAGTGAAGTATTACATACTAGAAGAACCATTAATGAGATACCCCTTAAAAAGTCCATTGATTTAATCACCACCAGTGCTGATAGGTTTAAGACAATCTTTGCTTGATTGCCAGGGACCCCAAAATGAATTTCGAAGTGTTAAGAAAATTATGGAAGCATATTTTCAATTTGTTTGGCTGAGGATGTCTTTCTATGGTTGAAAATCAGAAAATCATATTTTTAAAACATATAAATAGCTCTTACATCAAGTAACTCAAAGAAACATAGTGAATAACCTAGATAGAAAAATAGGTAAAGGAGATATGCAAAAGGCCAATCATGAAATAGAAATAGATCATTTTAATAATCCAGAGACATCAGAATGAAAAACAAGAAACTGTTCTTTGTGCCTCATGAGACTGTCAGAGATTTGAAAGACTGCCCATACAGGATAGTGGAGCCAGAAGACCATGTAACCTTTGACAAGTCGGAGAGCGTTTACAGAGAAGGAGAAAATGTTCCTAGCAGCAGGCCTGGCACATAAAAAAAGGTGCCCAGGGATGCCTGGGTGGCTCAGTCGGTTGAGTGTCTGACTTTGGCTCAAGTCATGATCTCACAGTTTAGGGGTTCAAGCCCTGCATTGGGCTCTGTGCTGACAGCTCAGAACCTGGAGACTGCTTTAGATTCTGTGCCTCTCTGTCCCTCCTCTGCTAACACTCTCCGTCTCTCTCAAAATAAATAAACATTAAAAAAAAAAGAGGGTGCCCAATGGTAATTTATACTACCCTCATCTTTCCATAGTCAGGACCCTATCATGAAAGAACGCGCCTTTTGTTGTCACTACTATCTACACCAAAGCTTCCACCTCACCCTTCTGGATGCTCACACCCATCTCTGACTGCTGAGTCCATCAGCACCCACTAGGGCCTCTGTCCATCTCCTCTTCATTCACACGGATCTAATCATGACCTTCTCCTGTAGGATGCCGCTCCTACCTGGAGGGCCACATTCCTCCCTCAGCTTCCAGCTCCCCCTAGCACCAAGCTCCCTGCAGCTGTCGCCTGCTCTCCCTTTTCTAGCAGGCTGAACTCCCTGTGGCCCCAGCACCTTTTGTACATACAGATCCCTTAGTTGTCTGCTGTGCCGCCACCAACTCTCTGTTCATTGGTCACTTCCTCTTGTGATCCAACTTCCTGACTTGCTCATGGGTCACCTCTCCTAACACAATGTCACAGAACAGTAAGGACAGTGTCATGAATTTACCTTTTAACTAGCTATGTCACTTGTAAATCTGAGGAGGTTCTGGAGATTTGCATTCCCTACAGAACCGTAACCTCCATGTTGTCCCCACCATGGCTGTATCTCCAAGTATCTCCTCAATCCTTGGCTAAAGCTGTTGAATGACTGAAATTGGCCAGGTTTCTGGGTCTCCCTTAAAACCAGAATGACTTTGGAGTATAAGAGGGCTTATACATTGGATGTGAGGGCGATCTGGCTGCGACATCTGTCACCCCATTGATAACCAGGGTTGATCTGGCTGATCGGGCTGGCCAGGCAGGTGTCCCCTTCCTCCCTCACTGCTCCATGTGCGTCCTTCCCAAAGCTATGCTCTCGGTCTTAGAGGACGACCTTCCCCAGTAGAGGACGACTGGTCTTTGATCTCCTCTGCTAGAACCTTTAGACAAGCTCTCAAGAGAGCGTATACTCTGAGCATCCGTAAGCAAACAGATGGTTAGATTAAGGAAGATCAAGTTTATACAAGACCTGAGTACCAGGGATCCTGGCCCTATAGCTCTCATCCCTCCACTTCCCACCTACACAAAAACCACCCCTCACTGAGATCCTGGAAGGGATTCCAAACGCAACTTCAGGCCAGCACTTCCGGAAACTTTGTACACGCAGATATTCATCCCCGTTTTCTGACCTGAGTCAGAATACAGAACTGAGAATACAGGAACTGAGTATCTCTATTTTTTGCAAGCATTTAGGGGACATAGGGCAAGGCTCAATGAGGAACTGGAAACCAAAACAAGATGTTTTAAAAGAAGCCAAACTCAAGATTAGGTTCCCTTGTTGGGTGTGATTTCCACCCCTGCACAGAGCAGGAAGTCAAGAGACTCCAGCTCTGGGGCGCCTGGGTGGCTCAGCGGTTAAGCGTCCAACTTCAGCTCAGGTCATGATCTCACAGTTCATGGGTTCGAGCCCCGCATTGAGCTCTGTGCTGACAGCCAGCTCAGAGCCAGAAGCCTGTCTCCAGATTCTGTGTCTCCCTCTCTCTCTGACCCTCTCCTGCTCATGCTGTCTCTATCTCTCTCTCAAAAATAAATAAAACATTTAAAAAAAAAGAGAGAGAGACTCCAGCTCTTACCACTCTCTAGCTCCACCCCATACCCCCATGCCGTTCCAACGCCCCACTTACCTGGGGCAGGTGCCTCTGGACAGCTCTGTAAAAGCTTGTCGCTGAGGTAGATCTCGCTGAGGGATGCCTGAACCCAATGCGCCATCAGATTGGTACCGCTGCATATATATCCCCCAAGGAGGGTGGAGCTACTAGGACCCCGCCCACCAAAGACTGGTGGCTCCTCCCCCCCGGGAAGGAGGGCAGGGCCAGGCTGCGAATGAAGGTATTCAAAGGTGCTGCTTGGTGGGGAGGGGATCTCCTGTGATTTGGCACTGTGTTGACTTGCGTAATCTCATTTGTACCTTTGAAATCCTCCCTTGATCCTTTCAGTGCCGTTTAATCCCGTTTTTGCTGATGAGGAAACCGAAATCTGAAACGCTGTAGAAGAGGCCTGTTAGGGGCGCCTGGGTGGCTTAGTCGGTTAAGCGTCCGACTTTCGCTTGGGTCATGATCTCGCGGTTCGTGGGTTCGAGCCCCGCGTCGGGCTCTGTGCTGACTGCCAGCTCGGAGCCTGGAGCCTGTTTCAGTCTGTGACTCCCTCTCTCTCTGACCCTCCCCTGCTCACGCTGTCTCTCTCTCTCTCTCTCTCCTAGAAATAAATAAAACATTAAAAAAATTAAAAAAAAAAAAAAAAAAAAGAAGAGGCCTGTTAAATTCCTTCACCAGGTCCCCAGGGACAGCCCCTCTTCACAGTAGGCCCCCTCCAGCGGTGTGCAGCGCGAGCACTGTGGAGCCTTCTGCAGGCTCCTGAGAACCCTCAGGGGCTGAGCCTGGGCCCCGGAAGCTCATGGTGCCGGAATTGCCTTTTTCATTAGGTGGAGCCCGGGTGAGAAAGCCAGGCCCGTCAGTCCCTCGGTCTGTAATTCCTTAGGTTGTTGATGTCAACACCCAAGTTTTCATTTTGTCACATGCTGTGTTCTGAGGCCAGCACCTCTCCCCACCACGTCAGTCACAGGTTCCCCGGGGAGTAGGTCCTGAAGGTCATGGGTCTCTGCTGCGTGGTGGGTGACAGGCCTTCACCTAATGTAGATGGAATCTTAGGGGCCTTCTCCACACAGCGACGGTGGTTCCCCATAGTGATCCTGAGGCAGAGGCAGGACAGACCCGCTCTGGGAATTCCAAGGGCTGCAGGAGGCTCGGCCTGGGACCTGAATTAAATGAAGTGGGCCTCTGCTCAGGCTAACCGTGTTTCTTCATCTCGCACACCCCTCACAGCAAATATGGTTCCCAGTGTAGAGATGGGGAAATTGAGGACTCTAGAGTTTAAGTGATGGAGAGGGACTTGCCCAGGCAAGTCCTACTCCGAACCCAAAAGCACGGCCACCATATACCCTGCTCCCCACCCGCGGGCGATGAAGAGCCCTTCGGGTGCAGCGCACTCACGCACTTCCTTCCCAAGGAGCCGCAGCCTGAGGTTACAGCCTACAGCTTGCCCCCTGCCTCTTGCCTCCTGAGACCGGGCCCTTTCTGAAGGTCTTAGCACCCACTTCATCACTACCCACACAGGCATTCCAGTTTTAATGTGTCTCCGATGTGAGTGTTGCAAGGTCTAGTATAGGAAATTAATAGAAAGTGCTTTTAAAATGATTTTGTAGGCAAAATATATAGTTTTGTTCACGTGAACTCAGTATTCTGGACGTTATAAATCAGCAGGACTTCATCGCTTGTGGTTAAATAGTATTCTGGGGCTAAACCAGGAAAAATGATTAAATCAGTCACTTAAAATGAAACACTGTTATTGGTAAGTACTAATATACCACAGACAACCAAACACAGGGGTTTCTGGGTAATAAAGTCCAATATGTTTTATGTTTTGTACTGTAAAAACAAGTAACAGACCTATGGGTGCCTGGCTGGCTCAGCCAGTGGAGCATGCCACTCTTGATCCCAACCCTATGTTGGTGTAGAGATTCTTAAAAAAAAAAAGTCTTAAAAAAATAATGATAACAGGGGGCGCCTGGGTGGCTCCGTTGGTGAAGCATCTCATTCTAGATTTCCGCTCAGGTCATGATCTCCCGGTTTGTGAGTTAGAGCCTCACATAGGGCTCTGTGCTGGAAGCTGAGCCTGCTTGGAGCCTGCTTGGGATTCTGTCCCCCCCGCCCCACCCCCCCACCGCTTGCTCCCTATCTCTCTCTCAAAATAAATAAATAAACATTTAAAACATAATAATAATAAGAGAACTGTGTTTCAGTATTTTTAAAAAAGGCCCTACCCAAAATGTACTTGGAGATTCCTAAATGATAAGTATAGATAAACCAAGCATAGCAGTAACAGCAGCCATCAAGCAGTCACAGTAACACAAAGCAACACTTCCTATTTTACCAGGGTCCCTGGATATTTAAAATAGTTTATTAAGAGCATTGGTATGAGTGCCTGGGTGTGAGAGATTGGGAGTAGAAAATGAAGATAAAGAGAAAAACTAAAAGTTAAGAGACCAACCTTTTATGAGTTACAATATACAATGAACTCTCAAGGTCCTCCGAACAACCAATTAAACAAAAATAAAACAAGCAATGTTGGGATGAGCACTGGGTGTTGTGTGTATGCCAATCTGACAATAAATCATATTTTTCATAAAAATAAATAACTGAAACTACACTTGTTTTTAACTCAAAAAAAGAAAACAAGCAAGAAAATACTTAATATTCTTTTAAAAAATTTATTAATTTACCGCATATTGAAGTATGCATATTTAAAAAATCAAATGATACAGAAATGTATAAGATCAATTTCTCCTCTATCCCATCCCTTCTTCCCTGCCCCACTACCCATCTTCCTCAATGTTAGCTCCTGTTACATTTTCATGTATGTTTCTGTGTCATTTTTGTTTTTATTTTATTGTTACTTTTTGAGGTTTTCTTATTTTATTTTTTAAAACTTACTGTCTTTGGGGAGGGTGTGTAGGTGGCTCATTTGGTTAGGTGTCCAACTCTTGATGTTAGCTTAAGTCATGAGTTTGAGCCCCGCATTGTGCTCAGCCAGAACAGTGCAGAGCCTGCTTGGGATTCTCTGTCTCCCTTTCTCTCTGCCCGTCCCTTCCCCACATGCGCACACATGTGCCCTCTCTTTCTCTCAAGAATAAATTTAAAAAGGGGCACCTGGGTGGCTCAGTCAGTTAAGTGTCCAACTTTGGCTCAGGTCATGATCTCCCAGCCTGTGAGTTTGAGCCCAGCCTTGGGCTCTGTGCTGACAGCTCAGAGCCTGGATCCTGCTTGGGATTCTGTGTGTGTCTCTCTCTGCCCCTCCCTAACTCATGCTCTGTCTCTTTCTCAAAAAATAAAGTGACATTAAAAATAATTTTTTAAAAAGAATAAGTTTCTTAAAATAATAAAAGTTATTTATTATTTCTCTAAAGATTTTATTTTAAAGTCACCTCTAGACCCAATGTGGAGCTCAGACTCCTGAGATTAAGAGTCCTATGCTTTTCCTACTGAGCCAGTCAGTTGCCCCTGTCTTTTTATTTACATTTAAATATATAAATATATTTCTCCACCCCCAAAATATATTTATTATATTATATATTGTACTATATATTAGATTATATATTAATAATGCATAATAATATATTATATCACACATAATAGTATGTGTTATTGATTATTATATTATTAATTATATGTATGTACCAATATATAACATATTATATAATATATAATATATTAACATAAATAATATATAACAATATATAATACTGTATATAGAATTATTATATGTACAATATATAATATGATATATGTAGTATATAAAATATATACTACATTGATCATATATAAGTATATATTATATCTAATTTATATAATATGTAATACATATATTAATAATGATATAATATATTAAGCATATATAAGCATAATTTATAATACACATGCATATATGTATATGTAATATTATAATATATAATATATATAATTTATGTGCATAATAATATGTGCACATAATAAGTATATATAATATGCATATGTTATATACACATTATATATTCATATTACATACATATATAAAATATGATAATAATATTAGTATATGTCCTATAATATACAATATATAATATAATAACAATATATTATTGTTAAATTTTTATAGTATATACATATATGAATGAGATGGGATGACCCTATATATATATTATTTCATGGTTTACTTTTTTTACGATTTAAATAAAACTTATCCTTTTTATATTCTTTATGGAGCTATAATTCGCATTTAACATTGTATTTCTTTTAGGTGATAATAGTTTGATATGTGTATATATTGCAAAGTAATTACCACAGTAAGTTTTATTTTATTTTATTTTTTATTTTAGAGAATGCATGAGCCAAGGAGAGGGGTAGAGGGAGAGAGAGAATTTTAAGCAGGCTCCATGCTCAGGACAGAACCTAATGCAGAGCTCAATCCCATAACTTTGGGATCATGACCTGAGCTGAAATCAAGAGTCAGACATTCAACTGACTGAGCCACCAAGGCTCCCCTACCATAGTAAGTTTTAGTTAACATCCATCAGTACACATAGTCACAAATTGTGTGTGTGTGTGTGTGTGTGTGAGACTTTTAAGATTTAGGGATTTAGCAGCTTTCAAATATACAATACACTATTGTTAACTATAATCATCAAACTATACATTACATACCCAGAACTTATTTATCACATAACTGGAAGTTTGTACCTTTAAAAAAATTTTTTTTAATGTTTTATTTATTTCTGAGAGAGAGTGAGAGAGAGACAGCGTGAGCAGGGGAGGGTCAGAGAGAGAGGGAGATACAGAAGCTGAAACAGGGTCCAGGCTCTGAGCTGGCAGTCAGCACAGAGCTCAACACGGGGCTTGAACCTACGAACCATGAGATCATGACCTGAGCTGAAGCTGAAGGCTTAACTGACTGAGCCACCCAGGTTCCTTGGAAGTTTGTACCTCTTATCTTTAAGCTTATTTATTTATTTTAAATAATCTTTACACCCAATGTGGGGCTCAAACGCACTGAGATCAAGAGTCCCATGCTTTCTGACTGAACCAGCCAGGCACCCCATGGAAGTTTGTACCTTTTGATCACATTTACCCATTTTACCCACCCCCTACCTCCCACCCCTGGCAACTGCCAACCTATTCTCTGTATCTAGAAGGATTTTTTTTGTTTGTTTCTGTTTTGTTCTGTTTAGTGTCCACAAATAAAAGAGATAATACAATATTTGTCTTTGTCTGACATATTTCACTAAGCATAATGCCCTCAAAATCTATCCGTGTTGTTGCAAATAGTAGGATTTCCTTCCTCTTGGGGTACCTGGGTGGCTTAGTCAGTTAAGCGGCTGACTTAGGCTCAGGTCATGATCTCACAGTTCGTGGGTTCGAGCCCCGCATCGGGCTCTGTGCTGACAGCTAGCTCAGAGCCTGGAGCCTGCTTCAGATACTGTGTCTCCCTCTCTCTCTCTGACCCTCCCCTGTTCATGCTGTCTCTCTCTCAGAAATAAATAAAATATTAAAAAAAAAAAAGGATTTCCTTCCTCTTTTTTTTTTTTGGCCAAGTAATATTTCAGTGTGTGTGTGTGAGTAATATATATGTGTGTATATATATATGTCACATTTTCTTTATCCACTTATCTGTTGATGGAGACTTAAGTGGTTTCCATGTGTTGGCTATTGTAAATCATACTATAATGAAAGTGGGGGGTACAGATATCTCTTCAAGATTGTGATTTTACTTCCTTCAGATAAGCATCCAGAAGTATAATTGCTGCATCATATGGTAGATCTATTTTTAATTTAGGGAGGAACCTCCATACTATTTTCCGTAGTGACTGAAGCAATTTACATTCCTACCAACACTGCACAATGACTCTCTTTACTCCATGTCCTCACCAATGCTGGTTATCTCTTGTCTTTTTTATGTTAACCATTCTAACAGGTATGAGGTAGTATCTCATTATGGTTTTGATTTACATTTCCCTGATCATTACTGATGCTGACCATTTTTTCATATACTGTTGGCCATTTGGATATCTTCTTTGAAAAATGTTTATTCAGTTTCTTTGCCCATTTTTAAACCAGACTGAGTTCTGTGACTTCATTATATATTTAAATATTAACCCGTTATTAGATATATGATTTGCAAATGTTTTCTTCCATTCAGCAGTTTGCCTTTTCATTTTATTGATGATTTCCTTTGCTGTACACAAGCTTTTTTTAGTTTGATGTAGTCCCACCTATTATTTCTTTTGCTTTTGTTTTATCCTTTTTAAAGTATTACAAACTAAAAGGCAAGCAATGGAATGGGAAAAGATACTTGAGGATGACATACCAGATAAAGGGTTAGTGTTCAAAATGTATACAGAACTTATCAAACTCAACCCAAAAAGCAAATAACTCAGTGAAGAAATGGGCGAAAGATATGAACAAACACTTTCCAAAGAAGATATCCAGATGGCTAACAGACACATGAAAAGATGCTCAACATCACTTATCATCAGGCAAATACAAATCAAAACCACACCAGTCAGAATGGCTAAAAAAATTTTTTTTAATATTTTTATTTTTATTTCTAGGGGGGAGAGAGAGAGAGACAGCGTGAGCAGGGGAGGGTCAGAGAGAGAGGGAGACACAGACTCTGAAACAGGCTCCAGGCTCTGAGCTGGCAGTCAGCACATAGCCCGACGCGGGGCTCGAACCCGCGAACCGCGAGATCATGACCTAAGTGAAAGTCGGAGGCTTAACCGACTAAGCCACCCAGGCGCCCCCAGAATGGCTAAAATTAACAACTCAGGAAACAGATGTTGGAAAGGATGCAGAGAAAAGGGAACACTTTTGCACTGTTGGTGGGAATGCAAGCTGGTGCAGCCATGCTGGAGAACAATATGGTGGGTCCTCAACAAATTAAAAATAGAACTACTTTACTACCCAGTAATTGTACTACTAGCTAGTTATACCAAGGATACAAAAATGCTGGTTTGAAGGGGCATATGGACCCGAATGTTTTTTTTTTAATTTTTTTTTAATGTTTTTATTTATTTTTAGGAGAGAGAGAGAGAGACAGCATGAGCAGGGGAGGGTCAGAGAGAGAGGGAGTCACAGACTGAAACAGGCTCCAGGCTCTGAGCTGGCAGTCAGCACAGAGCCCGACGCGGGGCTCGAACCCACGAACCGCGAGATCATGACCTAAGCGAAAGTCGGACGCTTAACCGACTAAGCCACCCAGGCGCCCCTGTACCCGAATGTTTATATCAGCAGTATCAACAATAACCAAATTATGGAAAAAGCCCAAATGTTCACTGACTGGCAAATGGATAAAGATGCAGTACACACACACACACACACACACACACACACACACACACACACGCACTGGAATATTACTCAGTAATGTAAAAGATTGAAACCTTGTCATTTGCAAAACGTGGATGGAACTAGAGTGTATTGTGATAAGTGAAATAAGCCAGTCAGAGAAGGATAAATATCATATGATTTTACTCATGTGTGGAATTTAAGAAACAAAACAGACAAACACAGGGAAAATAAGGAATAAGGAAAAATAAGATAAAAAGAGAGACGAGACAAACCATAAGAGACTTAAATACAGAGAGCAAATCAAGGGTTTCTGGAGGGGTGTTTGGTGGCAGATGTGGGCTAAATGGGTAATGGCATTAAGGAGGGCACTTGCTGGGATGAGCACTGGGTGTTATATGTAAGTGATGAATCACTAAATTCTACTCCTGAAGTCATTATTACACTATATGTTAACTAACTTGGATTTAAATAAAATTTAAAAAATAAAAAAATAAAGTATTACAATATTATGCATGCTTACTTATGGCATGCATGCATAACTGGCACAGAACCTATTTCACTGCAATTTTCTAAACAACTACCCTTTTTGCACACCAATAGAATATTCAAACATATATACAAGAAGTCAAAAGCCAGCAATTTTAGGTAATAAGGAAACCAAGTTGTTACTTGTCATTAAACAAAAATCTAAACATGAGCTCAGAAGAAATAAGGTGTATTGCATGTTGTTTTCTTGAAGAAGATCTAGCAACACACTGATATTATATACGCCACAGGGCTAATTCCTAATACCCTACCTGTCCTTTACAGTTGTCTTTGGAAAGACAGCATTTCCCATATTTAAGGAAAGATTGGGATTTTTTTCACTCTTTCTAAAAGAGTTTTCATTTTTGATGATTTCCACCCACAAAAATGTTGTAAGAGGATTACACTGAGCATAGTATACTCTTCATTTAGATGGGCCTCCTTTTTATTTTGCCCCCTTTCCTTTTTTTTTTAATGTTTTTTTTATTTCTAGGAGAGAGAGAGAGAGAGAGAGAGACAGAGTGAGCAGGGGAGGGTCAGAGAGAGAGGAAGTCACAGACTGAAACAGGCTCCAGGCTCTGAGCTGGCAGTCAGCACAGAGCCCGACGCGGGGCTCGAACCCACGAACCGCGAGATCATGACCTAAGCGAAAGTCGGACGCTTAACCGACTAAGCCACCAGGCGCCCCTATTTTGCCCCCTTTCTTAATCACTCTGTTTACACAGAGCTTTATTTTTCTTTTGTCAACCATTTGAGAGGATAAATAGTTCAACAGATAGGCAGGGTGTGCTCCTGCCTAATGACAATTCAGTTACCATATCAAAACAATTTAGCAGTGATACAATAGATTATATTATTATTGAGTATCGAGTGTCTATTCACATTTCCTGAGTTGCCCCAATAATGCCTTGTATCGATTTTTTTTTCCTGATCCAGGACCCTATATAGGCTCATGAATTGCATTTCGTTACTCTGTCTTTTTATCATCCTTTAATCTGGAGCAGTTCTTCAACCTTCCCTTATCTTTCATAATGTTGGCATTTTTGAAGAATCCAAGCTACTTATTTTGCAAATGGTACCAACGGTCCAGACAGTTGGGACTGTCCAATTTAGTTTTAGGTTAAGCATTTTAGGGAGGAATACTAAATATATGATGTCAGGTGTTCTCAGTGCATCATATGAGGTTTACATATTACTCCTAAGAATTAAGTTTCTATACGGGTCCATGAATGCAATTTTTTTTTCTTACATGGTAAACACATTCTCTTTGCATAAATAAGATCTAGACTGGAGATGGGAGGAGGCAGTGACTGGCAGAGAAGTGATGATTTCACTGTTTCTTTGTTGTAATGACAGCTAAGAGCTGAGTAAACTTGTATAGTAAAGAAGAGGAGATGTTGACCTAATAAGCCACACCAGGAAGACAAAATCAATTAGCAAGGTGTGCAATATCCCATGGTTTTAGTGTATAAGATTAATATATTTCATAGTTAACTAATCACTCCACAGATACCATAAATAGGGGTTCCTAGCTGGATCAATGGGTAGAACATGTGACTCTTGATCTCAGGGTCCTGAGTTTGAACCTCATGTTAGGCATAGAAATTACTTTTAAAAAATACCACAAATATTTATTGAGCACCTATTAATAACCAGACATCATTATAGGAGCTGGAAGTACAGGACTGAAGAACAGCAATTCCCCACTGCGCTGGCTCCAACCACTCACATTCTGTCCTGCCTCGGGGTTTTGGAAATGATTTCCCTCAAACATGAAAAAAATGTCACTTGATTTACCACTAGCCTCCTTTAGCACATCAGAAAACCATCTCCACATCTCAGTTATGGACCCTCCATTTGACTAATAGCAAATGCTTGGAAGCATGTTTGCATTCTCTAATTCCTTAACCCCAACCAATCACTCCAACAGTAAGTCCCATGAGATTAGCCTGAAACTGTATCACTGCCTTCTCACATCCCTTGCTTAGGGCCCCTGCTTTTAACCTCTCCTCTTCAGTCCCCCGTTTTAAGTCCACAGAATTTTAATGG